GCGCCACAGCAATGGGACACTCACGCGTTCAAGGTCCCCAAGACCATCATCCCCCGGGGCCTGTGCACATCTCAGAGAGCATGTGTAGGTGGGCACACATGTGCACATGCACAGACAGCCGCCCTCATGCGTGTGTGCACAGACAGCCGACCCGTGAATGCCACGGTTTCCACGGCACATCCACGTCTACGTGGGTTTTTCCAACAAGTGCTGCAAATGCATCTTCTCTTCCTTACAATTTCCCCGACAGCGTCTGCTCTTTAGCTTACGTCATGGAAGGCTACATACGTGATACACGTAACGTACAAAATGTGTGTTATATCAACTGTTTCTGTTATTGGCGAGGCTTCTGGCCAGCGGCAGGCTGTTAGTAGTCAAGGTTTCTGGGAGTCAAAAGTGACAGAGACTTTCATCTACACAGGGTTGGGGAGGCTGCTTGTTCAAGGGTCAGCTGGACTTACAGCTTCGAAATGGCTTTAAGCAGAGGTTTCCTTGGGAACACGCCAAAGCCCCAAACCACACGGGTCTGCACACCTGCCTGTGCCCTCGGAGCAAAGGCTAGGAGATGGGTATTGTAAGGGTGGCACGAGGGCCTCCCCCCAGAAGTGTCTGCCATGTGCTCTTTGTGGGGGCACGTGAGCCCCCTCCCCCCCACCTTTGGCTTTCTAGAAAGAAGGGACCATTCACACGGAGGCCGCCGGTGCCTCTCCTGACCTTCCCTGTCCCTCAGGAGGCCCGCGCTCCTTGTCCCCCTGCAGAAGGGCACCTGGTCTTTCCTTTAAAGACTCGCTCCAGCCTGGCCGTTGTGGTTCAGTGGACTGAGCGTCGTCCATGGACTGAGGGGTCCTGGTTCGAGTCCCGGTCAGGGCACATGCCCCGGTGGGCTCGTCCCCAGTAGGGGGCGTGCAGGAGGCAGCCGATGGATGTTTCTCTCTCACATTGATGTTTCTCTCTTTCTCTCCCCTCCTCTCTCTGGGATCAATAAAAACATTTAAAAATAAAAAAGATTCACCCGTATTCTGATGGTAGCTGACCTACTGTCCTGCCGTTCCTAGGACACTCAGTTCCACCCTAACTCACGCCTTCCTTTTCTCTCTCAGAAACTTCGTGAAATGAGCTGAGTGACTCCACCACCCCATGACACGAAGCAGAGTGTTAAACTGGTCGATTCTCCCTGAACCCCAGTGATGAGGCAGGACAAGGTCTGTCCGTGATCTCATTCGTGTTACAGAATTAGAAAAGCTCAGAAATTCGAAGATTTAAAAACAAAGCGTTGAGGCGGTAAGATGCGTCTTCCTGAAATTATTGTTTTAGGTTTGCGGTATTTTAAAAAAAACTTCTCAGATACATTTTGAAACTTGAAAGGGGGGGGGGGGTCTCAAACAGCAGCGACAGAAACCCCTCACGGGATAGGAATTCTTTTTGTTGTTGTTAATCCTCACCCAAGGATATTTTTTTCCACTGATGTTTTTAGAGGGTGGAAGGGAGGAGAGGAACATTGATGTGAGAGACACATCGACTGTTTGCCTCCCGAATGCATCATGACCTGGGCCTGGGATTGAACCTGCAAACTAGGTAGGTGCCCTTGACCGGGAATCGAACCAAGACCCCCTGGTGCTCGGGCGGACACTCTAACCGCTCTAGCCAGGGCGAGCTATGGATCCTTGGTGAACACTTGCTTCATCTACAAATGCAAATGTCCTCTATTTGTAACGACAGCTGACCCTTGACTATCACGGTCTGAACTGTGCAGGTCACTTATATCCTTGAGGATTTGTACAGCGGACCTTCCTGTTCCCGGGTTTCAGATCCGCAGATAGAACCAACCACAGATGGAAACAGTATCTCTGTAAATCCTCACCCGGGATATGTTTTTATTAGTTGGGGGGGCATCCAACTAATGTGCCCTGACTGGGGATTAAACCCGAAATCTAGGTATGTGCCCTGACTGAGAATCGAACCCACAAACGTTTGGTGTACGGGACAATGCTCCAATCAACTGAGCCATCTGGCCAGGGAGGAAAACAGTATTAATTTTTTTTTCTTTATTGATAATATAGAGAGAGGAAGGGAGAGGGAGGGAGAGATGGAAACATCGATGAGAGAGAACCTCGACTGGCCGCCTCCTGCACGCCCCCCCCCTGGGGATCGGGCCCACAACCTGGGTACGTGCCCTGACCGGGAATCGAACCGGCAACCGCTGGGTGCCTGGGTCCTTGCTCAACCACTGAGCCACACTGGCCGGGTTAAAACATTTTTTATTTACTGATTTGCGCGCGAGAGAGAAAGGGGGAGGCCGGAGAGAAACATGGATGTGCTGCCCCACTTACACCTGTGTTCCCTGGTTGACGCTTGTATGTGCCCTGAGCAGGGATCGAACCGGCAACCTTGGCGAATCAGGACGCTGCTCTAACCCACTGAGCCACACAACCTGGGCCAAAACAGTGTTTCTGATTCGTGTGTGGGAAACCGTGGACGCCGAGGGCTGGCTGCCTGCATTGTCTTCGACCGTCTGAGCGTCTGTGGATACTGGTATTGGGGGCTCGCATCACTCCCCCGTGGATACTGAGGATGGCTGAAGTTTTGGGGAAGCCCAAAACTATGCGTGGAGTTTTGATTGGGTGGGCGTGGCTCAGGGTTGACGGCACACGTCTGTGGGTCCTTGATACATGACTCAGCTAAACTTAGAGCCAAAGGTCACGCCATCGCTGACCTCACCTTCCGACCCGCTCGGCTAAAACCAGTCAAAGGGCGCGGCACCGGCTTCTCCCCCCTGAACAGCCGTGACGGGCAGACCTCCCTTCGTCCAGAGCAGTCCCCGGAAAGGCCTTCTGTGGCGATGTCAGAACCAAGCCCGCCGGAGAAGCCTTTCCAATATTTTCATTTCTAAATTTTTCCTAGATCGTATTTCTTGGGGGGGAAAGTTTTTTTTTTTTCTTTCTTTTTATTAATCTAGATTGAAGAAAAGCACACATTTCATTTATTGTCGGGATTACAGGTTCTTATTAAACAAACCAGAGCTCATTATAAAATCAATATCAACTTAACCACCATGCCCCCAGAGGAACAGCACAAAGGTCACTGGGAGAAACTCAAACAATTTTCCGCTGGAAAGGCTGGATTTTAATTACAGATACTATTCATTAGAGCTGTCACCGGGATGATTTTTTTTTTTTTTCCTGGTTAATTATCACAAATTCAGTTCGTTCTAAGTATGCGTTTTCAACCTGCATGTCTGGCAGAATTAGCCATTTCTGCACACAAGCCCAGGCGTTCCGTCCTATCAATATTTTATATCTGAATTTCAAAGCGTATCAAAGGAAGCTGGGCTCTCTAAAACCGGCCCCTTCCCTCTTGCAGACGAGGGCCAGGTGATGATTTATTTATGTCCTCGCACAGACGTGGCCTGGAGGACCCAGCATCCTCCACGGATGGTCTCCCTCAATAGAATTTCTGGGTAAATTCGACATTCTTTTTTTCCCGGGCTGCTTCTTCAAACCTGATCTTTCTTTTGCTTTCAAGCCAAGCGACGAGACTGAAATGCCAGACCTTTGAAGCTGCCTTTTCTTTGTACGAAAGAGACCGCGGTGACCAGGCTTCTGACCCCCTCTGGAAAAGTAGGGGCTTTCTCCATTCACAGACCAGAGTCTTGAAGTGGGGGGGGGGGCTCTGTCCTAGCCTTTTAAGCGCAGAGGTTTTATAAGTTCATCTTGTTCCTTCTTGGGACGGGGCCAGGGCAGCTCGGAGGACCTCAGAGAGGACCTGCAAGGACCGTTGGGAGCATTTTCCCAAAAAAACTCGAGGGCCCACGCCCGATGTAACTCTGATGGTGGAATAACAGCAGCTAACATATAGAATGTGACCTGTTACCAGACATATTCCGTGTCAGGATCACGTGATTAGAGAAGACACAGGCTAGCCCAATGGGAGGTGACCTCTGACAAGTACCTCCGCTTTTTTGTGGTTAATTTTCATCCAAGGACACTTTTTCCATTGATTCTTTTCGAGGGACTGGAGGGGCGGGAGAGAGAGGGGAACGTCGGATGTGAGAGAGACACATGGGCTGGCTGCCTCCCGCATGGGCCCTGAACAGGGCCCGGAATCCAACCTACAACCCAGGTACGTGCCCTTGACCAGGAATCAAACTCGAGACTCTTTGGTGCTCGGGCCGACGTGCTAACCACTGAGCACACTGGCCAGGGCGGACAAGTATATCTTGATTAGACTTTGAAAACTATGATTCAGTAAATTACTTAACTTTCCCCAGTGGGGAATACACTTGGAGTAAAACGATATTTTATGTTGAAAGAAATCAGATGCCCTAACTTGTCCATGTTCCGGTTTCTTGCTGCTCCTCAAACTGAAGGCTTAGCTCATCACGGGACGTGATGAAACGTGGCCGTGGCCGTGGCCGTGGCGGTGAGGAGCTCTCAAAATGTCTGTGAATCCGTATCCAGTTTGGGCTGAACCCGCCTGCCTCCCTGCTGTTCCTGATGCTTCTGGATCCCCAGCTGCAGGGCCGTTCCCATGGAGACGGCTTCGGCTTAGTTTCCACTTCCAGCGTTAGATTCCGTTTTATCCAAACAGGAGCAGAGGGTGGTGACCGGCCAGGTCAGGGATCTTTCCGCACGAGACACCGAGGAAGCTGGGGATTTGAGGAACATCTTCACGCATCCACACAACCTGTGTATCTCGGACCTCGGACACTTGTCATGAATCGTCGCCCAGTGAAGAAAGGCAGGGGACAATCCTAACGCATCACGTTCCCCCTCGATTCTAATTAGCACCCCCCTTTCGGAGCTCACACGGACTGTCCGGGAACAGCCCTGACAACGCTGGTGGAGAGGTGTTTACGGGAATGCTAAGAAGCTTCAAACTGTGGTCAGAAACGCACGGGGACTGGGAGAATGGACGAGGCGGGGGATGGGAGCAGGCCGGCTACGAGCTACACAGTCGGTCTGTCCAGCTGGAAGCAGCATGTTAACAGAAACGTGTTTTACCTGGTAGTCGGCGGTGGCATCGGGGCCCGGGCCGCCCCCCAGGCCGGAGAGCTTCTCCTTGAGCCGGTGGTGGGAGTCGTGGCGCAGGCAGTAGACCACGGCTGAGGCCAGCAGGATGCCCACGATGGCGGCGATGGACAGCAGGGTGAGCACCATGAACTTGGTGGAGTCCTCCGGCTCGGCCTGCTGAGGCAGGAGCTTGAGTTTGCTTTTCTGCAGAATAGAAGAGAGGGGCCTGTTAGAACCTAACAAACCAGGGGCTCCTAAACACCACCCTTTCCTTTTCTAAAAATATTTTTTCTTTATTGATTTCAGAGAGAGAGGAAAGGAGAGAGAGAGACAGACAGACAGGCAGACATGGATGAGCGGGAACGCCGACTGGCTGCCTTCTGCACCCCCCTTGCGGATCAGGCCCACAGCCTGGGCCTGTGCCCTGACCAGGAATCGAACCTCTTGGTGCAGGGTCGAAGCTCAACCACTGAGCCACACCAGCCTTTTCAAACACAGCTTAAAATGTAACGCTCAACAGGAGACAACACCGTACAACACCGGGAGGGCGTGGGGAGCGGCACCCCTCAAAACAACCAGAAGTGATTTCAAAGCAGCCACAGACTGCAATGCTCTTCAGAAGCAAGTTAGCGGCATGGCGCCCCCCACAGCCCCCCACACGGTGGCCATTTCCACACTGAAAACGCGATCTTTGGTGCCTTAGTAAAGCCAGGCTCTGCTCCTTCTCTGAACAGGTGGGAGGGGAATGCGGCTCCTCCGCGTGGGCGGCACACCTGCTGGGGTGGAAGGACTGGATGGGGAGCCCACAGGCTGCGGGGTGGGGCGCCGTAAAAATCAGGGAAGTCCCAGCCGGCGGGAGGGAGAGTGGCCTGAAGTTCCCTGGGACGGTTCTGGCGTCACCGCTTGGGGGGACAGCCTGGCACTTGTTGGCTGGCCGTCCAAGGCCTCCTCCCTGGGGTCACCCCCAGACTCCACCGTCTGGGGCTCAGGCCCAGCACCAGGCCCCTCGGCACTTTCCCCTGAAGGGCTCATGTCTGTCCCGTGCACAGGGACGAAGGCCACTGAACTGTCCTTGTTTCTGGGGGGGGCGTGGGGTCCTTTCGGTGCATTTCACTGGTCTCCACGCGCCAAACCGGCGGGCGCGCCCTCAGCAGCTTCGCCGTGAAAAAGGCCCCCGGACGCCAGCCCCGCACCCGGTCCCGGTCCCGCCCGGTCCGGGGGCTGCGCCGGGGACTCCGCAGGGCACCTGGCCGGCCTCCCCTCCCCGGAGCGCGGCCGCCCGCTCCGCTCTCCCGAGCGATCCTGGTCCCGTCCCGAGCGCGGGCCTCTGAGGCCGGGTGGCCGTTTCATCTCGTCATCAGAAAGGCCACCAAGGCAATTACCGCCGGTCTGGACGGGGAAAGCTGGTCATTAATTAGCCTCCTTTTGCCTGCGCCGCCGCGGATTAGCCGGGGCCGGGGCTGAGTTAATGAAAACGCGGGTTAAACGAGGAAAGGCGCTGGGTCTTCCTGCCGGGATGCGGCCGGGAGGGCCCGGGGCTCCTGCGGGAGGGGCGGGGGCGGGGCGGGGGAGGGGGGAGAGGAGGGGAGGCGGGGGAGGGGGAGGGGGCGCAGGGGGAGGGGAGGGGAGGGGCGGGAGCGCGAGGCGCGCGGAGCTGAGCTGAGCGGCTGGGCCCGCGCGGAGGGCCCCCCCGGGAGCACGGAGACCCCTCCCCACCGCCCCTCCCTCCCCGCCGCACGGCGCTGGGAGCGGCCACTCGGGGACCCACACGGGAGGCAGCGGCGTTCCCCGCCCTCGCTGCCTCCGCTCCGGTCCCCACCCCGCGAGGCGCAGCTACCACCTCGCGAGTAACCGGACGCGGGGGGCCGCCTCGCCCTGCTTGGCGCGGGTCGTGCCCCTGGGGTGTCGGAAAGGTTCAAGGGGTGCGCCCCCTTCTCTCGAGTCTGGCCGCGCGGTGGGGAGTCGCCCGGCCCCCCCGAGGCTCAGGGCCCGGCGGGTGAGGACCGGCGCGGGGGTCGCGCGTGGACGGGGCGGCCCCGCAGCCCGGGACTGACCGCTGAGCGAGGGGCGAGCTCCAGGCCGAAGCCCGCGCCCCGCACCGCGCAGCGCGCAGCGCCCACGGAGCCTCCGCGGCGGGAGCCGAACGACAACAAAGGCGGCGGCAGCGGACGGAGGGCGCAGCCCTGCCCCGCGGAGGGACCGGCCTTGCCCCTCGTCCCGCGCAGGTGACCGCCGGGCCCTGCGCTCCCACCCGGGCGTCCGGCCCCGGCGTCGGGGGACCCGCGCGCCCACGTGGGCGGCCGTGCCCGGGAACGGGGCGTCCGAGCCCGCCTGCCCGGGACGCGAGGCGCACAGGCGCCGGGTGACCGCCCGGCTCCGAGGGCCGAGCAGGGCCGGGCGTGAGGCCGACGCATCGCGCACCTGACCGGGTCGCAGGCGCGGGAGACAAAGGCCGGGCACAGGGGCGCCTCGCTGTCCCCGCTCTGCTGGAGGCCGGGACCGCGCGGGGCAGCGACCGCCCTGGGCCGGGGCACGGAGGCCGCTTCAGGCGGCCGGTGCTCGTCGTGGGAAAGGGACGGTCACCCTGACCTGCGGGGCACTCGGCCCGCCCGCCGGGAGCTGAGCGGAGCCTGCCCGGCCCGGAGCGCTCGGGATTTACTCAAAGGTCAAAGCAAAATGTCAAGAAGAGAGGCCGCCCAAAGAGCCGGGGCCCTGGCGGGGCCTCCCCTCCCTCCAGCCGCCCATCCCCCGGGTCCGCGTCGCTCCCGCAGGAGAAGGGGGGGGGGGTGGGAAGAGGCCGGGACCTCATCCCATTGAGTCCCGTTTTCTATGGTCTCCCCAGCTCCCCGCTGCGGGGCCTGAGCTGCTCTCGCAGAGAATGGTCCACAATGGTCCCCAGGCTGGGGGGAGTCTCCCCAGGTTTACCTCCCCCCCCCCGCCACCCGTGAGGAGCCCCCTCCTGTAGCCAGGGGAGGGGTCTTCAGGCTGGAGACTTCAGACATTGGGTCTCCGGTGGGCAAGGTGGTCTGGACACTGGGGACAGCAGGGGCCAGTGGCAATGCTGAGGGACAGGAGGGCTCTGCCGGGCTCCTCCAGTCCTAGGCCCTGGCTGGGGACGCTGGAAACTTGCACTGGGTGGTCCAGGGACAACTCAGGGGGAACCCAAAAAGTCAGCCCTGGGGTCCCTCCAGTGGTTCCAATTGCTGCATAGAAGGTCAGGAGGGAGGCCGTGCTGGTGGCCAAAGGTCAAGTCCTAAGAATCCCAGAAGGAACAAAAATTTACAGAAATTCTTAATAATAATAATAATAATAATAATAGAGAGATTGAGGCCCTGGCCGGTTTGGCTCAGCATTAGAGAGGACCAAAGAGTTAATGGTTCGATTCTGGGTCAAGGGCAAGTGCCTGGGTCGTAGGTTCCATCCAGGGCCCTAGGGGTTGTGTGGGAGGCAACCAGTCAATGTTTCTCTCTCCCTCCCTCCCTCCCTCCCTCCCGCTCTACCTAAAAATCAATGGAAAAACATCCTAGGGTGAGGATTAAAAAAAAAATTAAAGAGAGTGAGCTCCCCTCCTTGGCATAGTGACTGAGTTTAAATAATTTTATGATTATTTTATTTCTTTTCATGGAAAAAACCAACCTTCCAGTTCCCACTAACCAGGAGCCTGAGGGGAAAGAAATGAGTCTGCTAATAGCTTAAAAGTGCGTTTGGTCGGCACTCCTGCCCAGGTGTGACGTGGGTGGGCCTCAGGCCCCGCCCCCAAGGGTCCCTGCTCCCCAAGGCTGAGCACCTTGAAATCTAGTCCTGGTGCAGAGCCCTGCAGTGCACTCGACTAATTAGAGGCATCTTGCCAGTCTTGACTTGAAATTGAAAGAAAATAATGTTTAAATATTTATGACTTTGACATTTACAGTCAGGTGTCTTTGAAAAGTGGGACACCTCCTGTACCTCGGAGCAAGGTAGGGGTGAGCAGGAAGAGGCAGTCTCAGGAGAAAAGCCCCACAGGGAGCACGGGGGTGGGACCCCAGGGTGTGGTGGGACCCCAGGAAAGAGGAGACACCCAGACAAGTACTTAACGCTAGATTCCCAGATTCAGGAGAAGCACCGTGTCTACAAGAATCAGGAATAATTAAGTCAACTTTGTCTCAGGTTAGATGTATCTCCAGAGTAAACGGAAGTACAGTTCGCTTCTTCCACTCACCATCTCCACCTGCAGCTTCTTACATTTAGAATGTGAAGTACTGCAAGAGCTGTGATTCAGATAAATGTGACCAGAGAGACAATTTGTGCTCTTGGAAATCAAAATCTACCGATATTGTCCTGACCTATTTAAACCGTTTTGATCTGTACTAAGAGGGAAGGTGCATGAGCTTCCCTTGCATGATCTCCTGCGCCAGTTAGGGCAAAATATCTCCAAAAAATAGTTTTAGCTGTCCATGTGGTAAGTTTCAAAGGAAAGAGCAGAGGCAGAAAAAGAACCTTCTATACACACAAATAGGAAACTATGGCAGCAAATATTTGTTGACAGGTAGCAAAGTGTAGCCTATTCCCAAGGCTGTGCACAGTTAACCAGAGCAATTCCTCAGCTAAGTAACTGGCTCCAATTTTGAAACACACTCCTATCAAAACGCTCACGGACACAGGCATTCAATTGCATTAATATTAAACTTCTAACAGCATCGAATGTTTCATTTGTGTAATTTCTGAGTAATCTGGTTTGCAAACCCAGCCCTATCCTGTGTTCCTCCACACTTTTACATTACCGGAGCTGCAGCGCCCATCTCCTCAGCAAAATTTAGAAATTAGTTTTAGAGACCAGTAATGAGTTGCTGTAACAAGTCTGTTTTTGGTTTCCTGGATGAATCATCCCAGAATTATTTGGGAATTTCATGCTAAATTTACTAAAATATAGTAACTATCACTTTCAAGCTGATCAAAAAAAAAAATTATTTTTTAACAGTTACCAGTCCATGGGGATGACCAACTTAAAAATAGGGAGGGGGGGGGTTGTCTTAAAATATTTTAAAAGTATTTTTAAAAGCTGTTAACTGAACTATTTTTAATTTGGAATTCGCCACAGAATTCTAATAAATGAGAGAAGTCAGGCGGAAATAATCGTGTATTAATTCTCTGCATTACAAAATCTTTTCAGAAGCTATTATCAGAGCAAGAGGCATTGCAGCCTGAATTCGGGGCGGGAGAAACCC